CAGGCTCCGGACGCGCAGGCCCAGTGGCCATGGCTCACGGGCCTAGCTGCTATCTGTGGCATGTGGGATCTTCCCGGACCGGGGCATGAACCTGTGTCCCCTGCATCAGCAGGCGGACTCTCAACCACTGCGCCACCAGGGAAGCCCTTGATCTTTTTTTTAAACTTCTTTATTTTTATTGAAGTGTTGATTTACAATGTTGTGTTAGTTTCAGGTGTACAGCAAAGTGATTCAGTTATACATACATATGTATCTGTTATTTTTCAGATTCTTTTCCCTTATAGGTTATTACAAAATATTGAGTATAGTTCCCTGTGCTGTACAGTAGGTCCTTGTTGGTTAGATAATTTTATATATAGTAGTGTGTATGTGTTAATCCCAAGCTCCTAATTTATCCCTCCCCTCTCTTTTAGCAATTTTTTTTAAGCCATGTTTGTCAGGACATGCTCTATAGACCACCTGAGTCAGAATCACCAGAGTGTCTGCTCCCTGAGTTGCAGTCATTAGAGTTGGAGAACACTTGATTTGAAGAATTTGACAGCTTATCAGCCTGTGGTTGGAAAGATATTTCCATATGTTCCTATTTCTAGATGAGGAGACTGTGGCCAAACCTGGTCAGCTTCATGCCAGACCTAGAACCGGAGTTTCCAACACTTGCAGCTACCCCAGTGTTTTACGGACTGTGTGTGTGTGTGATTTGTAGCAAATCTTTTTTTTGAAAGGAACATGTACCTGTACACATGTAAAATAAAAGTAGAGCTCTTCCTCCTGTTGAAGTGGGTTGGGGCAGGGTAGGGGGCACTCAGCAAGCCTCCTCTGCCTTATGGCAGCCCCTGTGGCACCTGCTTGGAACCCAGGGGTTGAAAGACCACAGTCTCAGCTGACGTCCTCGAGGTGACAGGAACTTGGTATTCAGATGGTCAAATCCAAGGTGGGAGAATCCTAGATACCCCCGGTGCCTGGTAAACTCCACCAGGCTTCTTCGAATCCCTCAAGCCCATGAAGGCAGTTTACAGAGAAAGCTGCTGGAAGCCCCAACGTCCCCAAGAAGAGAGGTGGCCTCCTTTGAGCAGCTACATCCCGATCAATTCAAGTACATTTATGGAGACCTCCAATGTGCCCAGTGCAATAAACTCCAAGCAGTTTAAAATTAGTCCCTGCCCTCCCATTGCCCTCAATGTACCTGGAGAGAGAAGACATAAATAGAAGTGATGGCATGAGGCAGGTGTGTGCTGGGTGAGGGGTGAAGGCGGGCGAGCAGGCAGGTAAGTCATCTTCTCTCTGGATTTGGGGGAGCTGGAGAAGGCTTTGGGTGGAAAGGCAGGAGGAACAGCAGGACAGCCTTCCTGCGGGGCGGAAGCTGGGCCACTGTCCCTCCAGACACGGTCAGAGTCGAAGAAGCAGCAGATCGGGACCTGAAACCTTAACTCCAGCTGAATTAAACTAACTGGCTTGAGGGACTTGGGTTTAGATCTTCACAGCCAAAACGTCCATCCTTCAAACCTGCTTCTCCATAAATAGCGGCTCTATCCTTCCCGTGGCCCCTTCCGGCTCACTCGACTCTCTCACAAGCACTGGCCTCCTGCTGCTTGTTCGGTCTGCGGAAGCCTCCTCCCCAAACATCTACACAGCTGGATCCCTCACTGCGTCCCACACCTTATCAGCTGGGCTTCGTCCAGCTGTCTTTGAGTAAATATCGCCCTTCCCCCCACTCTCAATACCCTTCCCTGCCTTATGTTCTCCATAGCACATATAGCTGTCCGGCATTCTATACATTTACTTATTGGTTGCCTCTCCCATTAGATGTGAGCTCCATGAGGGCAAAAAGGGCTGTGCCCCTGGTGCCTGGAATAGCACCAGACACATAGTAGGTATGTAATAAGCATTCGTTGAACGGATGAGTGCATGAATGACTTCCCCTTAAGGATTCTCCGTAGAATCCTCCCTAGGATGGAGAGGGCTGCTCATGGTGGCAGGAGCTCTGGTTTGGGGACAGCGTAGGAGCCAGCTACGTCCTGGGGCAATTTCACCGCGAGCAGTCATAAGAGCAGATGGTAAATCTCAGCAGAAGGTGCAGGTGCCAAGTTGAACCAGTTCCTCACAGTGAATGATGAGGATCCCGGGGAGAGGAGGGAGACCCGGCCTTGGGAAGGACCACCACAGGGCTTGGGTGGAGCAGGTAGAAGGCTCGGTTCCCTGTTCCCTGCACATGCTCAGTCACCACAGACCCTGAGCCAGGGACCGAGAGAGAGAGGAGCCAGCCATGTGTGATGGGAGTGGCTGAGGCTGTGGCCAGGTGTCCCCTCTTATCCCCTGACTCAGTACCCTTAACCTGACCTTGGCTCCCTGGATGAATCAGCAAGTTCCAGCCTCTGGGGTTTGTTGCTGCACTTCCCTCGGGGCCAGAGGATCTTGCGCGACATTAAGTAATACACCTGGGCGGGCAGGAGGCTCAGGAAGCCAGCAGCAGCCTGGGGTCAAGGGTCATCCAGGGCCAAGGCTGTGTCTCCGTATAGAGACCCCAGCACAAAAAACAGCTGATGCTGGGAACTTGGGGGTGGGGAGGGGCTCCCAGCCTCAGCTGAAAATCAGCACCTGGGGTACAAGTAGTTGAAGAAATACAGTTTGACAAAGTGAGAGAGTGGCATGGACATAGATACACTACCAAACGTAAAATAGATAGCTAGTGGGAAGCAGCCGCATAGCACGGGGAGATCAGCTTTGTGACCACCTAGAGGGGTGGGATAGGGAGGGCGGGAGGGAGGGAGATGCAAGAGGGAAGAGATATGGGAACATATGTATATGTATAACTGATTCACTTTGTTATAAAGCAGAAACTAACACACCATTGTAAAGCAATTATACTCCAATAAAGATGTTAAAAAAAAATACAGTTTGGAGGCAGCAAATCCTCACAGAAAGTGAATATGAGTGTGCCTTGCTTTAAGCCACCACTTATAGGAAAACTGCATAGCTCCTGAGGATAAACCAAGGAGCAAGTCCATATTTTAAAGAAGGACTCTGTTTGGGGATAGTGGGCATGGGTGAGCTCCCCTAGTGAACTGGAAATTGTTGCCTTTATGAATATTCCGCTTCCCCATAACAATCATTTGAAATGTGGCACTCTCTGATTTATAAAATGCCTTCAAAGATGTAAATACTTTTCCACATATATATTCTCATCAGATTATCAGAGGGTCCTATGAGATCCCCATTTTACAGATGAGAAAACAGAGGCCTAGAGTGGGTAAGTCGTACAGTTCAGCCAGGTTTTTGGACTTGAAGATCTTCCCAGCCCAGCATGCTGTCCCCATGTGATTCCTACAACATCTCTACAGAGCAGGAGACTATGATCCATATGACAGAAGAGAAAACCGAAACCCAGTGGGTAAAGGCTCCAACCAGATTCCCAACTCTGAGCCCAGGCTTTGGAGTCAGACAAAGTTTACAGCTCACTAGCTCTACTTAGCACTTACTTGACCTCTGTGGGCCTCGGTTTCCTCATCTATAAAATGGGGGTAATAATACCCATGTCACGCAAGCTGTGAGGGTGAACTGATGTATGTTATTGCTTAGAGCAGCGACTGACACATAGCTGCTATTTTTATGCCTGTCGTTCTTGTTATTTTTACAGTTTCTCACACTTCTATGTGAAATATCCACAGAGACATGTTATAGAGTCTCCTCAGGGGTGAGCAAGGTGTCAGCCCCTCCCTCATCCCAGGCTTTCACTCCCTTCCTGCTCTCGCCCCTTCCAGAAGGTCACACCAGGCTGATTCTCTCCCAACCCCCAGGAGCCACCCTGCCACCGGGCCCCAGCCCCACCTCACAGCTGCCTTGGCCAAGGATGAAGGGCAATCCCCACAGCCCCTGCCAGCGTGTGGTCACCCCACCTCTGCCTGCTGCAGGGCCCGGAGCCCGGACGGGCCTGGCAGGCTACCAGTACTTCCTTGGTAGGATGCCCCAGCGCTCCCTCCGGAGTCCCTCTATTCTGGGAGCTGTAATTTAGACGGCCTTCCCCACCCCAATTGCTATCTGTGGTAGCAGTTACCCTTCCCTCAGGCCCTGCCCACCCCCACTAGGCTGCCTTTTCATAAACAGCTCCTAGGCTGCCCTGTTATCTTAGGCGCCCGTGGCTCTGGGGAGGAGGCCCTGCCAACCTGGAGATACAAATGACCCCTCAATCCCAGCGGAAGCCAGCCCAAGGCAGGCAAAGGAAGGATGGAACTCTCACCCACCAGAGCCCAATATAGCAGCCCTCAGAACCTGACCCTGCAGTCTGCCAGGGCGGGTGGGGTGCAGAAAAGAGGAGAGCCTGTCATTATGCCCCCAACACCCTGAGGACTGGGTCAGCTTAGGCTGTGGTCTCCCCAGAGGCCCCTGCCTCAGCTCGGCATTCTCAGCCACAGGGGTAGGGTGGGGGGCATGGGGGGGGGCGTGTGGCAGTCAGTAACAGCAGCAAAAGTGATGTTTCTAAAATGCAAATGTGACTGTGTCAATCCCTAGCTCCACACCTTCAGCGGCTCCCCATGGCCTTTAGGGATGAGGCTCATAACACCCACTGCCCTCTGCCCTTTCTACCACCTCTCTCACTTTAGGACCTTTGCACAAGCAAAGAGTTCTTCTCTTCATCTAGCTCCTACTCATACTGCAGGTCTTAGCTTAGAAGTCACTTCTCATGGACCCTTCCCCTGACATCACCACACATCACGCTCCTCCCAGGTCCTCCCTTAGACTGGAATGAGTGTCCCTCCCAGGCTCACCTGAAGCACCAGGCCCTTGCCTATACACTTTGTCTCTCTCGCTTGCTGGCTTTAAGTGCTCCCAGGGCAGGAACTCTGTCTTGCTCAGATTGTTTCTAACACCTAGCCCAGTCCTGGTATAGAGTAGGTGTTCAAGAAAAGTTTGTTGAAAGGCAATTTCCTGGTGGTCCTGTGCTTAGAACTCTGTGCTTCCACTGCAGGGGGCCCGGGTTCAATCCCTGCTCAGGGAACTAGGATCCCACAAGCTGCACAGCACGGCCAAAAAAAAAAAACGTTTGTTGAAAGAACTCATTGATGAATAAAGGGTTGGCTCCTCTGCCCTCCAGGATGAGTGGGTCTCTTAGGGGCAGGGGTATTTGCTGCTTTGGGCCCTTCATTTTCCCAGAAAGCCCCATCTTCAGTGTTCTGTCCCTTTGTCCTCTAAGTATAACTTCAGGCTTGCTGTACTGTCTGTCCGTTCTGATCTGGAATATACAGTTGCTATCGTCATGGGCCTGCCATTGCGGAGCCCTGAGGGGCTCTGAGGACGCACTGTAGGACAAGGCAGACACCCCTGTGCTGAGAGGGAGGAAGGCACAGAAAGAGGGAGTCCCCAGGCCATGGGTCACTTACAAGCAACAATTCTGTTACTAGGAGGCAGATGCGGGTTCTTATTTCGGCACTTTTTGCCGTGATACGTCCGTATCACACACTTTGTATTCTGCTTGCTCCAAAGACAGACATTGTAAAGAAGAGCCTACAACTACAGAAATGAAGCAGGAGTTAAATTGTTCTACCTGTTATCCCCCTAAATTATTGGAGGATCTCTGAAATTTGATCTCTGCATCCAAATTGCATTTCCTCCATCGTTTCTCTCATCCTGAAGTTTCACTTGACTTTCTCCCAGACCGCCTGCCTGGGAGACTGGGAAAATATGGGCACTGCAGCTGCTTCTACCTCCCGAGAGCCTGAGACCCACTCCCAGGGATACAGCCACAGAGCCGAGGTCTAGGGCCCAGGCCTTTTAGGGGTAGAAGCCTCCCTGCTCCTGGAGGCTGCCTGATGATGTGGCCAAAGCCAGGCCTGGTTAGGACAATCAATCTAGAGGCAAAATATATTACAAAGTGTGAGCTCTGGTAGGTCCCATGATCCAGACATGCTCCCACCTCAGGACCTTTGCACTTGCTTTTCCCTCTGCCTGATGCTCTTCCCCTCAGGTTTCTCTAGGGCTGACACCCATGGGTCTTTGTTTAACTGGCCCCTTCGCAGTCAGACCTTCCCTGGTCGCCCTATTTAAATGGAACCTCCTTCACTCCCACCCCATTTCCCTGCTTTATTTTTCTCCATAGCACTTACTGCTTATCTAACATATAGGGTTCCTTTTCTCCCTCCCTCCCTCCTTTCCTCCCTCCCTCCCTCCATCCTTTCCTTCCTTCCACTGTCTCCTTTCTACAGAATGTAAGAAATATATGTACAGATGTATCACTCGTTTAGTTCTCTATGGCTGTGTAACAGATGACCCTAAATTTTTAGCAACTTAAAACTAGCATGTATTATCTCCCACAGTTTTTGAGAGCCAGAGGTGAAGTTGCAGTCACCTCAAGGCCTGACCCAGGCTGAGGGTCTGCGTCCACACTGACTTGTGTAGTTGCTGACAGGCCTTAGGTCTGCGCTGGCTGCTGGCCGGAGGCTTCAGTTCCTTGCCTTGTGTGCCTCCCTATAGGACTATCCATGACATGGTACCTTGCTGCCACGAGAGCAAGTAATCCAAAAAGAGGAAGAGCAAGAGAGTGAGAGAGCCCCCAGGAGGGAAGCCACAGTCTTATAACCTATATTGGAAGAGACGTCCCTTCGTTTTTGCTCAATGCCACAGGTCACTCAGACTAACCCTGGGTGTGGCCACCGGGAGGCAGGCATCACTGAGGCCATCTTGGAAGCTGGCTACCAATCTCCAACACATCTTCCACACAGAGAAGATGCTCAAGAAACAGTTGTAGAATGAAAGAAGGAAGATAGGAATGATTTCAGCAGAAATCAGTTCTCATGGGGAGCTAACAGCTGTGACCACTGCCCCATCCCTGAAGGATCTGGACCACATTCAGCTTCCCTCCCCCTCCCCCCCACCTCTGTCCCCACGATGCTGTCTTATAATTCACCTCCACCTCTTCCCAGCCATGTGACCTCGGGCA